ACTCTAGATTCAAACAAAAAGTAAAAGGAGTAATGAAAAGAGCATCGTGCTTTGTTTGCATCATAATTTTGAGGCACTAAACGATTGTGCTTAATTTCTGTGCCACTTTTCTGGTCGCACCCTGTTGCGCCGCAACGCTATTTCGTTGGAAAATTTCCCAAATTTTCTCCTATTGCAGCTGCGGTCTGGCTACTTTCAGCATATCATAAAGACACTAGAACATTCCTTAAGCAGTAAGATTTCTCGAATCCAAGTTGGAAACAAATTTTTTTTCAAAAAACTCCACACTTCCTTTACATTTGTAAAAGGGAGTTGCAAGATTTGATATGGGATGCGCTGGAAAGGGGATCCGGGTGAAATTGCAGTTTGAGCCAGTTTTTGTAAAATGCTTGATTACATTCACATCTTAATGGAAGGATTATCGGTCGAAATGGCCTTGTGGAATGAGCTTTATACTAGGCAACCGTTTTTGGCAAGGCAATCTCAAAACTACTTTCGCTAATTGCCGAGCGATTGTGGGGAAGCTATGAGGTCATTTTTCTCCTGCGCATCTACTGATGGGAGAGGCGCTGGAAATGAGCAAACGGTGTCAGTGGCGCAGTGGCAAGGCAGGTGACTGTGAAGCGTATGGTCGAAGGTTCAAATCCTGTTGGTGGCACTTTATTTTGCAATGTTGTAAAAATTCTTTTGCAGTGTTGTAAAAAATCTATTGGGTGGCACTTAATAGATTTAGTGCAAAACTCACTACTTCTACAATCAGCTATGATTTTTTATAATCGTTTATACTTTATCCGCTGTGCGGGAAAAGGGATCCAAGAAGCTCTCTGCTGTGAACATATTGTGGTTGTATACGTGTTGATATATCATTGAAACCCATTATTGTGACATCATAATGCCCACAGAACTACATACCGTAGAAGATTATAGATTGGAGAAATAGTGTGTTTTTGCCGTAAATAGCTTGTTTCAACTGCTTAGCAATGAGTATTTCTCGTTTATTGTCACCCAATAGACTTTTCACAAATCTGCAGAACAAAATGCCAGCAACCTTCAGCCATACGCTTCGCAGTCAGCTGCCTTGTCACTGCGCCACCGCCACAGTTCTAACGCCTCGCACATCAGTAGGCGCGCAGGCTGCGCCGGAGAAAAATGACCTTTTAGCTCCCACACAAAACCGTTCGGCAACTAGCGAAGGTAGTTTTGAGATTGCCTTACCAAGAAGGGTTTCCTAGTATAGAGCCCATTTCAAAAGGCCACTTTAACCGATCATCCTTCCCTTGTGAGAATTTACTTCAAACTTACCAGAAAAACCTGGGAATCACGCCGATTGCTTCGCTTTTATGAGGGACAGTACTTTTCCCGCACCCTGTATAACAATCCGAAAAGCACTAAACGCTGATTCAAAGACCGTCTTTGTTATCTGCCAAGCGCCTCTGGACGCTGAGTAGTGAGCGCTTCTTGGTCAAAACATTGAGCGCGCAACTTGAACAGGTCAGTGAAAGATTGCTCAAAAGGCCCAGCATTAAGAGCCCTGGAGAAACCATTCCCGCTAATTTTACTTAGATTCCACCATCATTTTTCGCTTCAAAAACACTCCTGATTCAGCGTGTAGAGGGCTTGGCAAGAAAAACCAAGATTGGAATCAGAGTTTGATGCTTTATAGATTATATACATATTATAATCAAAAAGCCAATTTCGACTGTGGGTTTTTCCCTTTGGATACATCCATCCCAAAAATCCGGAATCCCAAAATTGTGCACAGTTTTGATCACGTTAATAACTCTCTTGCTTCAATGCTTTTCGACAAGTAAGCACCATTCTGTAGAGCTGGTTTCAAATTAGATTTACTATATGGAGCGAAGCACCGAATCTCTTTTCATTACTGTAAGAATTACGTCAGAAACTCCGAGAATTTAGGCTATTGAGAGCCAAATCTTGCCTAAAAAAACGAAACAAGCCAAAAACCCTCGTATCAGGCAAACTGAAACCTTTGATTTGAGTATGGAGTTCGTGCCTTATTCTAATGCTTTTTTACAAGTAATCTCAGGTGTACCGTAAGAATGGTTTTTCCAGTGCTCGTCAGAAGTGCCTTGCAAGATACCGCTAAAAAAGTCAAAATTTTTTGAAAAGTTGTGTAGCGAAATCAGCATGCATGGAGACCCAACTAACAATTTTCCAAAATTTTTGAGCAAAAAAATTTCAAACGATTAATTTCACAGTTTTTCTGGTGTTGATTATTCGTACCGTAATCCTGCAGTAACGAAGAGGGACCACATTATTTATTCCATCCTATAAATTCAGGTTGAAGTCAGCTTCACAGGCTGTACTCAATGATCAGCGAAAGCCATCAAAGCAGTTACTGACGATCAAACAGTGTGCACATCTTTTGCGACACCCTGCATGAAAGAATTTGCAATCCGCCTCCGCAAACTTGCAAAAGTCTCTGTACCCTTGAAAAATCTTGTCTATCACAAAAAATTAATACAATCGAAGTATAGCATGCACAGCATCCGCATTTGCGTCAAAAAAGTTAGCATGTCATATAGAAAGCAGGAAATACCAAATAAACTGCGGAGGCTCAGAATCTGCAAACACTCGAAATTTTAAATGGCATACCAAAAAACAGAACTCGTTCCTCACGAATAATCTCTTGCCATCTGCTGGTGCGTATCGACTACAACTGCTGTCAGCAGCCCGAATCATTCTTCAACACTCTCCTCTAATTTCTCATCCTTTGTAGCTGGAAACCAGAACCACTCGAAAATTATTTGCATTCCCCTATACCAGGTGTGATACTGAACTTGGAAAAAAACAGTATCCTAATCCGAGTACAGGGTGTTTGAAAAGTTCGTGGCCTAAAGTACTTCCAATTCGAATTTTGACGCGTTTTTTGCTATATGTGTTCTTCAAACCTTGAAACCACTGAATCAACAAAGAAAAATATTTTTTGCCTCAAAATACCCTTAAAAATTTGGAAGTAAACAATTTTTTCAGCTTCCTTGGAGAGTGCGTCATCTGTTTTGTTCTTTTTTTCCAACGCCGGAAAAGGCAAACAGCTTTTGGTTTTTTTACTACAAATAGTCCTAGATTACACTTTCTTTATATAACAAAAGTTCTACATTAGCATGCTAACAAAGATTTTTTATGCGCTGAATCACAGCAGACAGGCGCGGCACCCTGTTTGCGCTGAAATTTTTTCAGTTTGAAAAAATTTAGAAGTCTTATTTTAACATGTATTTGTAGCACAACTCTCTGGCCTTCGTTGTATTCGTTTTCGAGAAATTTGCGCGCTTGCAAAGGTTTTTAAGATAAGATATAAAAATTTCGGTGCTGGACTTTTTGACAAAAAAATCCTGAAAGTGGATCTCTTGGCTTTCGCGGTACGATATTTTTCAAACAAACTTACTTCTACGAAAGTGAGAGCACACTTGAGAAACCTTGAAGAAAGGGCTTTAAGAAGGTATACTAAGTTTTCTGAAAATTATGTTACCTTTTTTGTAACAAGCGTTTTGAGGAAAGGGGTTTGGAAAGCTATTCTGATGTGTTTCAATCTAATAAAAAATCAAAGAAACCACAAAAAAATCTAATTTTTACAGAAGTGATGGTATTTAGGTCCGATGAGCACAATTAAACAAAAAACGCATCAAAATTCGAATTAGAAATACTTTAGGCCACGAACTTTTCAAACACCCTGTATAAATCGCGCTTTTTTTCTAAAATTGACCAGCTGCACTGGAAAGCAAAAGGATGCTTTTATTGTACTTGTTAAATTGTAGTAGTTATGACTGCTGAGTATTCGGTATTTCTATCCTTTGTTCTTTTCTTTTTCGCCGACCGATAAGCAGTAGTTCTACATCTCAATCACTAACTTTCATCTGATGGAGATTCTCAAGTACCAATACGATGAGTTGCAATGTTCGGTGAAGTTTTGTAATTGCTCCATTGCTCTCCTAGACCCAATATGCCGTATCATGCCGAAGCCACCCTCTGCGAGAACTACAGTGCACCTTGTCAGCCAAACTGCTAGACGATTGTTTGTAGCTATATCAGCACATGAAATTAAGATACTAAACGAGTTATTCTCTGTTTCGGCACAAACGCCAATTGCCCGAACGACGCTTAGATACATCAAATCTGTAAAGCGTTAGAAAGCAGTACTCAAACTGATTGGTGTTTGGATTTTATTACATATGTTGAAGAACTCTTGTTAGCTACTATTAAAGGGCTGACTGAAAAACCATTGCAAGCAAGCTCTTGAATCAGTGCACAAGCGCTTTTAGATCACGCGTACGGTTAATACCCTAATTTCATGATAGGCACCTTTTTCGGTTTTTCAAGCGTGCCGCTCCCGGCTAGTTGTGTCTCGGAAAACGAGGCTTATACCGCACGATACTCTCAGGCGATATGCACACTATAAATAGTTTTTTGGTCGCAAAGTCCTTTGACGTGTAATGCTGTTCGATTTTGAAAGAAAATCCCCCGCGTTCTATACGCGTAAAATTAGAGTTATCTAGTCACCTTCAGTGGAAACGATGCTAAAAAGGCAACCTAAATTTGGACAAATGAAGAAAATTTGATGCTTTTTTGGAACATTATTGCTTATTAATTCGTTGAGGCGGGAATAAAAAACCGCATGTCACAATTACTTCCTATGACGTGCTAATAAACAAAGGAGTATCGCAATGCGGCCAAAGCAAGTGAGTTGTTGTTGTTTAGTTCTTGTTTAGTTGTTACCTCAACTGTTGTTGTTGCTGTTGTTGTTGTTGTTTTTGTTGTTGTTGCTGTTTTTGTTGTTGTTGTTTTTTTACTAATTGTTTTTAGCCCCACAGACTGCATTAGTGGACCGTCTCAAGCTATAGCTTAGATGGAGGCATCACAATGTTATACTAGATTGAGGTGACCCTAAAGTTGGCGAAACGATGTTCTGATCCCGCAAAGAATTTGACGAATTGTCATACTGTTATGAGCCAGCCCTGGCTCAGTAAATGATCAATTCTCACCTGTATAAATTATGCAGGTACATGACTTGAGCTCGGCACGCCGTTGACATGGGTCCTACAGGAGGCTTAGTCACTTCCGTGTCTTCTTCAGTAGAATGATCTGGGTTGCTCGGATACGTACGAGGAGGCGATGTGGGTGACAGTGTTTGCGAATGTGACTCTACAATTTATTCTTTGCAACATCTACAGATTCGGCCTGTCGAAGAGAACAATGATTTAGTGAATTTTGATTATAGAATGACAATAAAAATAAGATGTCCCCTCTAAGCACAAGATGCATCGCTATTGCGTCCACCTGTGATAGTACGTAGTTGAAAGAAAGGACCGATGATGAAGGGAAAAGAGTTTTTAAGTGTGAGGAAAGCCGCGAGTTTGCAAGTTCACGAACGGTAGGGACCTACATTGTTGCATACCTATACGTCTATGTGTCTTTCAAGTTTTTATCCATATTAGATTGGTGTTAGATTTGGAAAAAAATTTCTGAACATACTTTAATCTCTCACCCGTATAGCCCACATACATTGCTTACAACTGCAAAAAAAAAGTTCAAATGATAGGTACTTTGAGAGCCAAAAGGATCATCATATGACATTCAGATAATAGCTCCTTTTTTCATGACATGGTGTGCTTTTTCATCACATGCTTTGAATAAATTTCATAATGCTAACCCGAAATGAATAGCAGATTGTTCCTCCCATTCAAATAAGCTGAAAACCGAGCAAAACAAGGGAAAGGAGACGCCAATATAAATGAACTTTATAGTTTACTAGCTGGCTTACCCGGCTCCGCCTGGCCCTGTCAAAAACGATAAAAATTCGATTTCTATCCCTGTACACCTTTACCTGTGCCCACTTCTACATTCCCTATTCCCGCTGCGTGAGTAATCAGTATGCTCACCTACCTTCCGCACCAACCCCCCAGCCCCGTAGCTCAAACTTTGCACAAAAAAACAATAAAATCGATAAAAGTAAGAATAATTCTAAAAACTGATGGCGTTATTCGGCTATCCGGGCCCCAAAATGTTTTTGTGACGGATTTTGCTCAAACTCAGTATATGGGGGTTATTTGAGCCGCTGATGACAATATCATGGTCATCGCGTGGCAGCGGGTAAAAATCATAAACCTGCAAACCTTGTCAGGGAATTACGCAAAGTGCTGTTCAAAGAATATCGTGCTCAATCTCCGCGATAAAGGCAATTCGTGTGGTATAAAAGTTTCCAACGACCGTAATTCTTTCCTTACAGGACCACTGCCGCGCGCGATACACCCTTCGGCGGCTTTTGCCTAAGCAGAAATAGGGGGAGGGAGATTTGCCGCGTGCAATACACCCTTCGGCGGCTTTTGCCTAAGCAGAAATAGGGGGAGGGAGATTTGCCGCGTGCAATACACCCTTCGGCGGCTTTTGCCTAAGCAGAAATAGGGGGAGAGAGATTTGCCGCGAGGTTACACCCTTCGGCGGCTTTTGCCTAAGCAAAAACAGGGGGCGGGAGATTTTCCGCGTGCGTTACACGTTGGGACAGGTTATCAGGATGGCGCTGGAGACCGCAAAACGACCGTTTCCCCATTTCATGAATATCTGGGATCTAAATTGGCCCTGTCCATTCAAATCCTGCAACTCACCATAACTTCACTAATGCGTTATAACAGCGAGCAAGTTTCATATTCATAAGCAGTATACTTGTGAACCGTTACAGGTAAGGTGTTGAGCAAATCTGGAACTTCGACCCATCTACACCCACGGTCCCAAGAAAATGCACTATCCTGCGAAATCAGCATGATATTCATGTTCAGCGCGCTAAATTACCACCCTAGACAAAGTTTAAAGCAAATCTATGTTTTCGACTCCATGCCCTATAACCACCACAACTCTATGAAAAGGTCCCAATATGCAGAGAGAGATGATATTCGTAATTAGCATGTCGAATAAACCATATGGACCGAACTCCAGCCGGATTCATGATTTTGACTTCCTACCGTACACCTATCGTAACCACATGGGAGGACTTTCTGCGACGAAAGTTTGATATCTGTAATCAGCATGTAAGATAACTTATACACGAATCTGAGCAAGCTCTACGACAAAAAAATTTTGGGGCCGGGTTAGCCGAATAGCGCCAAACTAATATCGAACTCGTAATCAGCATGCTCGATTACCCTCCTGTGCAAACTCCCAGCCCCGTAGCTCAAACTTTGCAAAAAAATTGATAAAATCGATAAAAAATAATGGAGATTCAAAAACTAATATTGTATTCGGAATCCCCATGCTGGATTACCCCCCTGTGCAAACTCCCAGCTCCGTAGTTCAAACTTTGCAAAAAAATCGATAAAATCGATAAAAGTAATCGATAATCCTAAAAACTAATATTGTATTCGGCATCACCATGCTCGATTACCCCCTGTGCCAATTCCCAGCCCCGTAGGTAAACTCTGCAAAAAATCGATAAAAATCGATAAAATCGATATCGATCGATGGCGAAAAGTAGCCTATGACACCCGCCGAGGCCCGAAGTGTATGTGTGCCAAGTTTGGTCCGGATCGGTTTAGAAATGGAATTTTCTATTCGGAACGTACGTACAGACATACAGACAGACAGACATTCAGCTTTATATTAGGTTGTCCGGAAATCAATGCAGGTTTTGAATTCCAACCGCAATAAGTCATACACTTCTCATTTTTAAATAGGTTGCAAAGTACCATTCGATAGAGCAAAGCAAGCTCTACATGATGGCCATGTTGCTCTAGCAACAGATCTGATCCACTACGAGTTTCGAGCCAAAAACTGAAAAGATTCAACTACCCGAAAAATTCGGAAAAATTTTAACTCTGTTCATAAAAATCCTACAAAAATTCTAACTTGCTCACATAAACATAATCCACATAAGGCATCTATATACGCGGTTGCCGTATTTTTTTCTGTGTTAGAAATCAAGAAAACGGAAATTTTCGTGCATTTGCCAAAGTGGTGCTGTGCCGTTCCCACATAAGTAGTTGTATACTACAAACCTTTAAAAGTACAAACGTAAATTTCTAGCCCTCTACAAGCTTTAGTTCTCAAGAAATTTCGAGTACAGTTTTCCTTAGTCATGTGGTCCAAGCTAAAATTCAAATTTCTCGAGAACCAAAACTTGTAGAGAGCTGGAAATTTACCTTTGTACTTCTAAGGGTTTGTAGTATACAACTATTTATGTGGGGACGGCACAGCACCACTTTGGCAAATGCACGAAAATTTGTGTTTTCTTAATTTCTAACGCAGAAAAAAATACGGCAACCGCGTATACAGATGCCTTATGTGGATTATGTTTATGTGAGCAAGTTAGAATTTTTGTAGGATTTTTATGAACAGAGTTATGATTTTTCTTAGTTTTTCGGGTAGTTGAATCATTTTAGTTGTTGGCTCGAAACTTGTGGTGGATGAGATCTGTTGCTAAAGCAACATGGCCATCTTGTAGAGCTTGCTTTGCTCTATCGAATGGTACTTTGCAACCTATTTAGAAATGAGAAGTGTATGACTTATTGCGGTTGGAATTCAAAACCTGCATTAATTTCCGGACAACCTAATATTAGGTTGTCTCATAATTAATGCACGTTTTTATTTGCTTGCTATAACAAAGCAACCAGACTCAACCTAACAAAGGATAAGGGGTACTGTTCGATAGAGCAAAGCAAGCTCTACAAGATGGCATTCATGTCTTTGCGCCATGCTCGATCCACGGAGAGTTCGAACTCAATATCTAAAGATTTCCAAATACCCAAAAATCGAAAAAAAAATCAGATCTTCTTCCAAATAATTTCTACGGACCTCCCACTCACTCACATCAATACTATCGATATCTGATATCCATATGTGCGATTGCCGTATTTTTTCCTTGACTAGAAACTGAGAAAACGAAAATTTCCCTGATTTTCTCAAAGCAATGCTGAGCCGTTTTTGCATATGTAGTTCTATACTACAAGCCAGGTAAGCATAGCTGTAGGTTTTCAGCCCATTTCGAGCGGTACTTTTCGAGAAATGTCGATTTTAGCACTGAAACTGGAACGAAAAAATCCGAATTTGTTATTTTTCGAAAACTACCGCTTGGAATGGGCTGAAAACCTACAGTTATACTTACCTAGGCTTGTAGTATAGAACCACATATGCAAAAACGGCTCAGCATTGCTTAGAGAAAATCAGGGAAATTTTCGTTTTCTCAGTTTCTAATCAAGGAAAAAATACGACAACTGCACATATGGATATCAGATATCGATAGTATTGATGTGAGCGAGTGGGAGGTCCGTAGGAATTATTTGGACGAAGATCTGATTTTTTTCGATTTTTTGGGCATTTGGAAATCTTTAGATTTTGAGTTCGAACTCTCCGTGGATCGAGCATGGCGCAAAGATATGAGTGCCATCTTGTAGAGCTTGCTTTGCTCTATCGAACAGTACCCCTTACCCTTGGTAGGTTGAGTCTGGTTGCTTTGCTAAAGCAAGCAAATAAAAACGTGCATTAATTATGAGACAACCTAATATATAAGATAGTAGTTTTTCATTAAAGCGAATAAAATGGATAGATGAAGACAAGGAGTTTGATAATCTTCACCATTTTCAATTGTAACTTATGCGAGTAGCTGCCTTCTAAGGAACACTTAGTAAGGATTGACATTGCCATAAGTAGCCACTGTTGCCACTACATCCAAAATAAGAACATACCTGGTATTGCTGATGTTCCTCCCCAAGGTGGACTGAAGGCTCCAGCGTTTGCTCCATCTGAATTTGCGATGGAAATCACAAAATTGCAAATCTGAGATCTTCAAGCTGAGAGCATGACAATGGTTATTTGTAGGACTGAACATCTTTTCAAACTCAGATCAACTTCTATCAAATCTATCGTTTAACCTTTACGAGACTTACTCGGACTCGGTGGCAATATCTCCATTATTATTCGATTAGGTAGCTTAGGAACATCAACATAACCCGGAGCTAAAAAGGAAGGCCTGTTCAAGCATTAGTGCTGCAGTTTCTTTGTTCAACCTTTACGAGACTTACTCGGACTCGGTGGCAATATCTCCATTATTATTCGATTAGGTAGCTTAGGAACATCAACATAACCCGGAGCTAAAAAGGAAGGCCTGTTCAAGCATTAGTGAATTGGAACATGTATGCGCGAGTCATTCCGGTTTCAACAGCATTTATAGAAGTAGGCTATTCGGATAAAATGGATGCCCTTTGCCATTTTGCATCGGACGCGTGCTGCTGAGTTTCTTTGCTGAAAATGGCTTTTCTCAGTGCGTGCACATGACCATATCTGCACCTCACCAGTGATTTGGACGCATTGCAAGGTTGTAGCTCGGCCAGCAGTCACTCTGCTAGCCTGCAAGTAGGCTCATTCGAAAGAGCATGACTTTCTGGACAGATGGTATGCAAAAGAGTTGGGTATGAAAAACAGCGGAGATTTGGCGGATGGGGTGAAAAAGCGTGGCGTTAAAGGTGATTGGAATGGAGGCTCTTGTCAACACCAGAACAGTCCTAAAGTTTCGAAATGGATCTATTACAAGAACACTGAAGATTTCAAACTTCCAGGATAGAACTTGTAGCGAGAGAAGCTCTGTTCAAATTAAGCTGGAAATCCTTAGGCTACCACTAAAGCTGCGCTTTTTCACCCCATCCGCCAATTCTCCGCTGTTTCTCATACCCAACTCTTTTGCATATCTTCGTGTCCAAGAAGTCACGCTCTTTCGAATGAGCCTGCTAGTAGGCTCGTTAAGTGACTGCCGGCCGAGCTAAGACCCTGCAATGCGGTGCAAGTCAGTGGTGAGGTGCAGGTGGGGTCATGTGCACGCACGGTCAAAAGCCATTTTCAGCAAAGAAGCTCACCAGCACACGTCCGATGCATGGGAGGTTGCCAAGGGCATCCATTTTATCCGAATAGCTTTGTTGGGATGTTTTGAATAGGTTCCCATGTGAAGAATTATGGCTTAGAGCAGGGAATTAGAAGTTATTTTTTGAAAAAAAGGAAAATAAGATCCAAGCTTGGGTTTTTTGGAAGTAACCACTACTCGATTATTGTCCTCGGTGAGTTCTACAATATAGTATGCTTACCTCCGGGGAACTTTTGTTTTTGCTGCAAAAGAAGACCTAAAAGAGAATTTTCGCGTTCGAAGAATTATTGTCCGCGACGTTGTGACGCGGCCTTTTTTGGACCTTTTTTAGAAAAGATTTTTACATTTTTAGGATACAAAATGTAGCGTGCAGGTTGTAGCTCTTGAAGAGCTCTATCACCTCATGCAATCCACCCATTTTTTTCGTCTTTGTTTTCCGTCTGAAACTGAGCGATGAACGAAGGAAGGCGACTTGTCCGCAACTTTTTTGGCGGTCACTGTATGTCTCCTGCCAAGCCAAGCTAAGCATGCTAGCTCCCTATTAAGCAACTTTAGACCTTGTGAAGGTTCAGTTGAAAATAGTTTCAGAGTTGAAGTGAAAAAATAATTGCATTTCACTGCCTTCTAAAAAGATTTCAATGTCTTTAAAAGCGGGTCCATTATTGAATTTGCATGCTACAGCATGCATTATCTCATAGCGCATTCCAATCCTGCTCAAAGCATCCATAAAATGTTAGTTGCAATCGCAATACGAATTTGAGAGATAATGAAACTCTTTGGCAGAAAGTTTGCTGGGATTTTATGAAGCAGTGAGACTGATACAATCACTAGAGACGTGTGACGCAATGGTATGGGGCGCCGCTATGGCCAAATCGGATCAAAGTACGATTCCGATTGTTGACCAAGTAAACTTTTCGCACTCAGAGACGGTGAATTGGTGGCACAGTGAACTGGGATGACCGAATGGTAATTGGCTAAGTCTAGCAAGTCACAGTAAGCATCCACAGTGGCCCTCTCTACGAAGTAATGCTGTTTTGCAATGCGTGTGCGCAAAAGTTATTTGCGCCAAATCTTTTAGATTGCACTTCTGGACTGTCTCAGAAATTCTATAGTATTCTTCGAATTCGAAATTGAGGAAGACTAGAAAATAATTGTCGCTAGAAAGGCAACAAATTCGTACTTCTGCTACTTTCGGCTATCTCATTTATGCTGAAGACATAGCTCAAGAGCTCTGCGCTCTATCCAACAATTCGAAGGTGATCTTCAGTTTTTTAAATTAACTGTCTGCCAAGTTGCTTCAACCAGGGCTCAGCGCAGGTGACCCATGAGGTAAACTGGATATCGTTTCGAGGTACAAGAGTGATATCGTTTACCCCCCCCCCCCTCTCTCCCCCTCCTACCCCCACAATCACTTCCTTGTTCTCATGTCAGCCTTCATCTTCTATAGCGGACGCAGATTGTCATTTTTGCCTTATCATTTCGTCATTTTTGCCTTATCATCCCATTCCTGCAAACACCAAAAATTCCTCTTTCAACAGGTTCATCCGTTAAGCGCGCGAATTCAAAACTTGGCCCTAAATAAACAAGCCGAAGTTTACAGCGAAAAGAAATTGAAATGACACTAAAAATCGTGTGTGAATGGGCAGTAAGGACTTTAGACCACGCATGAGAAATTATGAAAAAGTTATGTGAACTGAAGGCTTGGCAAAGTTATCGAAGTTAGGTGGCTTTCCAGCCACTTGAACAGCCACCTAAGGTGGCTGTGAAAGGAAAAGGTAATAAATATCCCTTCCTTTACATAATTTTTTCACATGTTCAACACACCTTTGTTCTACATCAAAACCCTGAACTGAGATTTGAATCTCTTCAAATTCCCTCCTCCTCGCTTAGTTACAGCCCTCCAAATATTTCGTATGACTGTTACAAGCCTACTCCTATAAATGCCTACTAGGTTTTGGAAAAAACTCAGCTGCGTCTTGTACTTGTGAAATTAGGGTATTTATTAGGGTGAACGGAAGAAATGGGACAGCTTGATTTTATTACATTTTGAGATTTTTTTGTCCTCACCAATAACAAACAGGCTGCAACTCAAACGTCGCTTACATAACCGATCTTCTATTACTCTGGCAACGCGTTACCGCTCCTCTCTCATAACCGTACGCGTGGCGTCGTGAAGAACTCCGACAGGTTTTTTTTTGAATAACTCTCAATCTTGCACTGCTATACCGTGAAGTCGTAAAGCAAATGACATGTCATTTGAAAGAGCTTTTCATGTTTTTTGAACGATATGTTTAATGCCTAAGATTTCTTTTCAATTTCAGAAAAAAAAAACGAAAAAACCTGAAAATAGCTATTTTTGGCGCAATAAAAAACCAAAAAATGTTGCCCTATATTTTCCGAAAAGAGATAAAGGCAAGGCAGGCAAGCTGCACATGGATGGACAGAGCGTAAAAAGCTCTATGAGATGGTACCTAGAAAACATGCGTTTACCTGCAAGGAATTGAATAACGCGTATCTTCGTTCTCGAAGCTGCTGATGGCCATATCTCCTGACTTTGGAAGTTGAGGCCACCAAGCCGTGTGGGTTTGGTGACTTTCGCACCACCCACTCCAGCAGGGGTACTTTGGGTGGTCTCACATGTTACACTGCGCAGATACTGTTCAGAGTTCATGATTTGTCGAAGTGATTAACTTTGCATTTCAACAAGTATAAAAATTAGTAATTATGTAAATGACCTTATATAAGTATTAGGTTGATTCATAATTAATGCACGTTTTTCTTACCTCTTCTTCCAAGAGCTGGTATTTGACGTGTAATCAAATCCCTCAAAAACTTTTTACGCATTCTAAAACAGCGTTTTTTCTAGTTTCTTATGTGGGCCTTCGCTTTCGTACATCTCCGTTCATTCCAATGTTCTGAGCCTTCAAATAAAAGAGACTAAATCCCAAAATTTTTGCTTTTCACTCTTTTTGCTCTAAATCCGTGAGGAATAGCCGAATTGATTATAGAAAATATGCATAAAAATTAGGGAACTTTGCGCTACAAGTTGCTTTTTGAACAAAATTTTCCATGAATTCTGAGCCGAGAAATTCATTTGCGAACTTTAATAGTGGTCGCGGCCCTTTCGTGCCATATAAAACTTTCAAGCAAAAGGCGATTGCAGGTCTTTTGCACTATTTAGCAAGGGTAGACCTAGTTCATTTGTTGGTAGAAAAGCGCTAGGGTTTCCCACTTTTTAGCGGAGATAAATGAAATAACTTCAAAAATGATCGATTTTTGAACCCGCCGAGATGCCAGAAAAAAGTGAATTCTTTCGACTTTTTCGCGATAGTTTCTTCTACATTTTTTCCGCGAAATTCAAGCTTGGCATTACTGCTCAAGAGACCCTTGGCTACACGATGAGCGAAGTCTGCTTTATTCTACTTCATTTAAACATAAATTATGCTCTCTCAAAGTAAAGGCTTCTGAAAAAAGTTGTTGGCACTCTTCGGGCCAGAAAATCTTTTTTGTGTTAGATACAGTCACGCGAAAGTATCTGTTTTATAGCCACTGATTTGGTGGTTACAGCAGTTTTTATTGCGCCCAGATATGTCTCTTGAAAAAAGAAGAATTATCTTGGTCGAAAGTTGAAGTATAGAAAACGTGCATTAATTATGAATCAACCTAATATTATCTGAAAGAGAATAACATATTCTAACAACTGCCAAAATTGGAATGTCTAATCACTTCTCTTTCTTGAGAAACCTCCAGATATTTTTGAAGTGTCCCATTTTTTACCGTTCATTCTAATAGCTAGGCCGTCCGCTTCATTCAAATGAACACTACCCCTCATGGAACAAAGGCTTCTAAGAGTTTTTGGTAGCATTCGATGCAGCACTTCATCATGTTTTTGAAGATTTTGAAATTGTTACAGCACAACCAATGACCTCTCCAAAAATTAAAATATCTGTCATCCATGCTTTTTAAGATGTTTCACAATTCTTCTAAATTTTTATATCAACCTTCCGAGGATCCTATTAATATTAGGTAGTTCCGAAAGTTCTTTCCGTTTTTTCAACCTATCATGAAAAAATCCTGGAATGAAGGTAGGGAAAGCTTCAGGTACTATCCGACGCAGCTTTTGTTCCCATTTTCAAATGTAAGATTCCTGCGTCGCTTGATCCTGTGGTCAGTGAGATAATGTTCGAAATCACGAACCCATGATTTTTACGGTGTCCAACTTTGGCAGTTTCTCACATTCTTCTTTTTTAACCTTTGGAAAAGCTTTAATAGCACTCAGATAGAGTAAACAAGGTGCAATTCAATGCACCTTTTCCTCTTCTTTCTAATGAGTATTTTTCTTCTTAATTTGTGGAGGTTTTTGGCGATAAAATCTTTAGAATTCTTGATTTTAACCCGCCTAAGAGTGTAGACGTGAAATGCGAAATCATTTATTTCGAAGCGGTAAGCGCTCAGTTGCTTTGTAAAAATTGTGAATAATCGCAATCGACTTTTGAAAGTTTCAAAATCCGAAGACCTGTTAATGTTCGAAGCGTTTGTGTGTTTTGTGGCTTTGCAAAAAGTGAAGACTTCTAGAAAAGTTATCTTAAAATATACTGAGAAGCCAGTTAAAATGCCGAAAAATTTCATTGGATTGCACTTTGTTTACTCTATCTGAGTGCTATTAAAGCTTTTCCAAAGGTTAAAAAAGAAGAATGTGAAAAATTGCCAAAGTTGGACACCGTAAAAACCATGGGTTCGTAATTTCGAACATTATCTCAATGACCACAGGAGCAAACGACACAGGAATCCTACATTTAAAAAGGGGAACAAAGGCTGCGTCGGATAGTACCTGAAGCTTTCCCTAACTTCATTCCAGGGGTTTTCACGATAGACTGAAAAAAAGGAAAGAACTTTCGGAACGACCTAATATATTCATAGAGCAGACCCTATATGATGCAAAACATTTTTCTCTTTTCCATAGCTCGTCATACTTTTTTAATAAAATTTTGGTGCTACCAATTTGTTTTGCCAACTAAAACCTCGTCGAACATCAAAGGGAGAGCAGCTCGGTATTTGATGCAAACTTTCTCCTCTTTTCAATGTTTGCCTTTATTTTTGATTTATGCATCCATCGGGGAAAAATCGTCATAACTCATGTTTCTGAACGAACCCCAAGCTATACCCAAGGAACCAAAATTTGACATTTCGAACCCGTAAACTTCGCTTTGTAAGGCTAGCGCTAAATTATAGTACCATCTTGGAAGTTTCAAAGTCCGAAGGCTTATTGGTGTTTAATGTAATTGCGGCTGACGTAGGCCTTCTAAAATCCGACGGTATTAGTGAAAAATCTCTAAAAAAAATTATGAACTATGATAAAAAGAAAAAAGTTGTATTGCATTCTCTAAGAATCGCTCTGTCGAATCTTTATTTGAACTGCTTCGCAGGTTTGATATGAAGGTGATTTCCGAGAGCTCATTGATTGTGCTATAAAAATTTTATTAATTAACTTAATTAAAAAATTTTAACTTTCAGAAAAAGGATGAAATGCTGCATTGTTTTTCATTACAACTAATATATGCCTCCTCTTCTATCAAGGATTATAGCCAGGGTTGAGCGTGGGGTCAGGCGCGCCCGACCTGGGGGGTCGTATTGAGGGTAAGATTAAGGGAGGGGGTCGTAATTAAGAAGCGAATTTTATCATTTGGGAGAAACTACGAAGGTGAAGAAGAAATGCGCTAGTCCGGTGGATATCGCAGTCACCTAAAGGAATGACGGTCGTTAACAACATACTGATTGTTTCCACAATCGAAGTTAGCCAAAATTCAATCTTCATATTTCACCCTGACAGATCATGAGGCCGACAAGGAAGCTTTCTGTGCGGAATGCTGAATCCTTTCCGTAATCAGCATGTCAAATTACCTCTATGCGCTCTACAAACCATTGCCTCTGCATTTTCTAATATTTCTCACGTCCAAAAAAGGTGATTTTCAAACATGATTAACTTGATTTCAAAAGTGAAAAATGTAAGCTTTTCTATACTCACAACAAAGTAATGTCTCTACAAGTCTATGCTACAAATCAGGCTTTATATCGCTTCCAAACAGTGAAGTAAGAAGTGCTGCCAAAATTCAACCGGCACGTTTTTCACATTGAGTGCTTCAACTCCTCGGATTAGCACAAGGCCGAAACAAGTCGACTCAAGCTCAAACACCTACTGTTGAATCTTCGAGGGTTGAGCTAGCGAAACACATGAAAGTTGGGTAGAAAAGCTTCTTCGGAAATAAAGTTAATGGGGTCAGGCGCAACCCCTCAAAAGGTCAGGCCGCCTGAGCTTTTGAGGGGTTGCGCCTGACCCCATTAAGTTGCCTTCAATATGCAAAAATCGCCCCTTTTTTAGTATGGGTATTGAGCGCAAAGCTTCTTCTTGCTATACTGAAAATTTGGAGCCAAATACGCCATCCCTGCGAAAATTATAGCTTTGAAAAGAGGGCTATCCAGATCCAAAGCTTGCCGTCAAATTGCGTGTAGTTGTGCAGTCGCAGAAAGCCGGGCCTACAGTTTTAAGAAATAGAAACCTACATTGAAAGTGGTCTTCTTCAAAAGATAACACCCTGAGGACGTGGAGGTCAAGCGTCGTTTAGGGGCTTTCAGAGGGGGGGGGTCGTTTTTGAAGGACTTGTGCCTGACCTCTTGCTCAACCCTGATTATAGCCTTTGTTTACAAACTGTAGTGATATTTGTTTGAGAGATGATTACTAACAAAGCAAATAAAGGGAGGCCAAGCGATCTACGTTCTCATGAGTAGCCACTGTTGCCATCTCCTTGATCAAACCAAGAACATACCTGGCAACGCTGATGTTCCATCCCATGGTGAACTGAAGGCTCCAGCGTTTGTTCCATCTAAAAATGCGATGGAAATTAAGAAATTGCAAATCTAAGATCTCCTTGTTGAAGGCGTGATAGTGTAATGCGAATGCTCAAGCATTTTCTCATACCCAGATCAACTTTACTTAGATACTTAGATGGCCCGGCTTCACGTGACGTGCGGGCCCCAGCTCAGAAGTTTCCATTTTTCCCTGTCCCTCGCTTCTGACATCCACGATCTTCTTGGCTGACGTCGGTGGCTGCGTCCACGAGTTCCAGGTGCAAAAATCGTATCCAGCTGATTTCTCAGCTGGTCCATCCGTTCCACGAACACGTCTGCCCATCTCGTTGGAGGTCTTCCTCGGGGACGTTTGGCTTCGCGAGGAATCCACTCCGATGTTCTTAGTGTCCATCTGTCGTCTGTTCTTCTCATTATGTGACCGGCCCATCGGTGTTTGGCTTTCGCGACGTATTCCGCTGGGTCACGAAGACGGGACATTCTTCTCATATCCGTGCTGCGAAGTCCGACTAGATGTTGCTTGCGTCGGGTCATCTTCAGAAGACTGCGCTCGAGCGCTCTGTGGGTGGTCCGTAAAGCTTTCGACGTGGCTACAGTATCGGCCCAAGTCTCAGCTGCGTAACAGAGCGCCGGGAGAACGGTTGAGTCGAACAGGTGGGCACGAAGCTCCGGGTCCGTCAGTTGGTCGGTGGCTTCCTTCAGAGGCCCGAAGGCGGCCCAGGCTGCTCTTCTTCTCCTGTTAAGTTCTTCCCTCAAAACGTTCTCCATGTTCATCGAACGTCCGAGATACACGTAGGAAGACGTCTCCATAATCGGGGTGCCTTCCAATTCCATTTCTGCATCTTCGCAAAGGGCGTTCTTCATGAACTGAGTCTTCTTCCGATTTATTCGCAGTCCGATCTTCTTCCCTACTTCGTTTAGTTCCTTCAGCATCGTCTCTGCTTCGGTGATACTGCTCGAGAAGAGAACGATGTCGTCCGCAAAACGAAGGTTGGATAGGAATCTCCCATCAACTCGTATGCCTCTCTCGTCCCAGTCCAGTGACTTCATCACCCACTGCAAGGCCGCGGTGAACAGCTTCGGCGAGATTGTGTCGCCTTGTCGGACCCCCTTCCCGATTGTTATAATCAGGGGGCGATGGAATAGCTGCATCGTCGTTGTACAGTCCTTGTAGCAGTCGGCTAACGTCCTCACGTAAGCTGGGTCCACTCCTTGATCGACTAGCGCAGACAGGATGGCGTTGGTTTCGACGCTGTCGAAGGCTTTCTCGTAGTCGACAAAGGTTAGGACGAGAGGCAGTCGGTACTCCCGGCAGACTTCTATGACCCTCGAAACGGTCTGGATGTGGTCCATGCAGCTGAATCCTTTGCGAAATCCAGCTTGTTCTTGGGGTTGGGCTTCATCTAGTGTCCTTGATATGCGAGCGAGGATAATCTTCGTGAAAAGCTTGTACAGCACACTCAGCAAGCATATTGGACGATAGTTCCGAAGATCCTCCCGTTCACCCTTCTTGAAGAGAAGGACGGTTCTTGACGTTCTCCACTGGTCGGGAATCTTCTCCTTCTGAAGGTAAGAGATGTCAAATGCGACGCTAGAATCTCGTGTAGACGGTGTCCTCCGGCTCGCAGAAGTTCGACGGAAAGATGGTCTGGTCCTGGAGCCGTGGACATCTTCATGGTCTGTATCGCGATACGCACTTCAGCAGGTAGAATTCGTGGTGGTACTTCTCCAGTGGGAACAACGGGCATCTGCACGGGTGTTGATGAGCGGAAGAGGTTGGTGTAGAAGTTCTTCGCGATAGATTCCATCTTGTATCGGGAAGAAGTCGGAGTCCCGTCTTCGTTCAGTAGTGCAGCCAGCGGTACGTGATATTCGCAGAGGTCCCTTCGGCACTTCTTGAGACTTCGTCTTCTTTCTGCTGCTTCCAGTATCTTGGCTTGCCTGTACTTCCTGAGATCCTCTTGCAAAGCTGTTCTGCAACTGGTGTTGGCAATCAGTCGCTCGAGATGAGTTGCATTCGGATCCTGCCTCAATGATCTTCTTCTTTCGAGCAATTCCTTGGTGGTCTTCGAGATGCGGTCCAAGTTCTTCTCAGAAGTCACTGAGGCGCATTCTCCGCAGGCTCGCAATCCTTTCAGAAGCCGGTCGTAGTCGTACGTTGGGTCCTCCTCGATGGGCCAGTCACAACTTGATATGAGCTCTTCCAGCCTGTTACCGTCATAAACGACTTCCTTCCTTCTCGCGGCACTATGACAGACTTTCTTTTCCAGCCTTCGGCTGAGTCGTATCTTCGCTCGAAGGAGGCGGTGATCGGAGCCACTACAGAAGGATGGAACTACAGAGACATCGAGTAAGCTCCACCTTCGGTTGGTGAGAATGTGGTCGATCTCCGCGTGGGTCGTTCCGTTGGGCGATTCCCATGTCCACCGGCGATGTTCCTTCTTCATAAAGATGGAATTTCCATGGAAAAGTCGTGCGGCGGAGAGAAGCCCAACAAGACGGTTGCCGTTTTCGTTCCGGAGCCCATATCCAAACTTCCCGATCCTATATTCCCTTTCCAGTGGCATCCCGATTTTCGCGTTGAAGTCGCCCACAACAAACTTGTAAAAGGACTTCTCGTTGCGGACGACCTCCTCCACATCTTCGTAGAAAGCATCTAGTTCTGATTCGTCAGCTGCTGATGTTGGAGAATAGCAGTTGATGATGCTGATGGTCCTCTGATGTGGAGGTCGTAGTCGTAGGATGCCTAGTCGAGGTGATAGGATCTCGTGCGAATCGATAAGATGGACGATAGATGGGTGGACGACAAAGCCGACGCCTCCCACGTTTCGTGATGGAACCTTTTCACCACGAATGATGAGGGTCCCATCACTCATCTGTCGCACGTCCTTCTTCCTGGACTTCGTTTCCTGCAGAGCAATGATGTGGTAGTTGATGTGCTCTGCAGCGTCGAAAAGAGCGTGGAGGTCGGCGTTTGTGGAGACTGTCCTGTCGTTGTAAGTGCAGAGCATGAGGCAGTCTCCATGGCGTGTCGTCCGGGCAGACGTGTCGTTTTTGTCCAATCCGAAAGGCGCCCTGAGTACCCTGACATCGTTCTTGCTACCACCCGGCGCCGTAGGCGGGATCCGATGTACAGGGTTTTTTCTAAATCTTCTTGCTGTCTGAGTAATAAAATTTGTTCCCCTACAAGAGGTGGCTTACTAGGCCTACTCTTGATTTCCACGGGGTGATCGCTGACCCCGGGCTTGGAGCGGGGAGGGACCGCCTAGCGACCAGAAGAAGCCAGACGGCGGAGAATCTGGCGCGGCCAGTTCTTAGCTAGGCTTCCGGCCGAAACCGGAAACGTCGAACTCCTTCACAGCTTGGGAGGCCCTACCAGAGTATACACTCGGCTGTGCATCGCAGTTCGACACCCAGTGTCACCCCCACGCCACGATGAGGCGACCGACCATTGTGGGGGCAGATCAACTTTGATCAAATTTATTGTTTGACCTTTACGAGACTTACTCGGACTCGGTGTCAATATCTCCATAATTGTTCGATTAGGTAGCTTAGGAACATTATCATGTCCCGGAACTTCAAAAGGAAGGCTCTTGTGAAATACATTAGTAAGCTGAAACATGTATGTGCGAGTCAATCCGCTTTCAAAAGCGTTTGTAGAATTTTTCTATTAACGCTTTCAAAACGGGTTGACTGTTTCACGTTTCCAAAGCAGGAGACGCAAATTTTGGTGTCCGAGAGCTTATTGATAGTACAGTAACGATTTTGAAACCATTTAAAAAAAGAGAAAATGCTGCATCTTATGCTTCCAAGATTGCATGGGAATATTTGTCCCACATTTGAAACGTGGTGTTCATTTTGGAAAGAGCAACACTACTTTCGAAAGATCCAATATATGTCTCCTTATCCGTCAAAGACATTTAGCCATTGCTTACAATCTGATACTGGTCTTTGCTTGAGAGATTATCACTGTCAAAACAAGGAAAGGAGCTTGCCAAGATAGCTACCAAAACAAATGAAGTCGGTAGATGAAGAAAAGCAGGTTAATGCACCATTTTTAGTCGTAACTTATGCAAATAAAGCTTTCCAAAGAACACTTAATAAGGGTTTACATTGTCAGCAGCCACTGTTGCCACTTCCTTGATCCAAAATTAACATACCTGGGCTTGCTGACGTTCCTTCCCAAGATGGACTGAAGGCTTCAGCGTTTGCTCCATCTGAAATTGCGATGGAAATCAAAAAATTGCAAATCTAAGATCTTCCTGCTGAGAGCATGAAGTGGTTATTTGTAGGATTGAACACCTTTTTAAACCCAGATCAACTTTAATCAAATCATCGTTCAGCCTTTACGAGACTTACTCGAATTCGGTGGCAACATTGTTCGATTAGGTGTTTTAGGAGCATCATCATAACCAGGATCTGAAAAGGAAGGCTTGTTCAAACATTAATGATTTGGAACATATATGCGCGAGTCATTTCGCTTTCAAAAGCATTGATAAAGTATTTTTAAGGCGGATTAACTTAATTCCATTTTTCTTCCCAAGCTAAAGAACTTAGGCATTTGTTGGTAACATTGTTTCCTTAGAGTGCATAGGAGAGGCGTTTAATGATAACATTATTCCCTCAGAAAGCATAGGGGCATCACCTTCATGTGTTGCTGAGAATCATTAGTTTAGTTTGAAAGGATCTTATTTTGATGTTAGTTGGATAGAGCAAGTTATGAGGGCAGTAAATGTTTCCAAGCGCTTCTAGGTGACCCGGATCGGTTTGCACACTCACGATTATGTGACACTATCTATCAAACTGCCTTCTCGTGAAGAAAATACCTAAGAAAACGGTAACATTATCCTTTCCTGCCAGCCCAGCTGCTCCATTTCGTAAAAATTATTTTAGTTTGTAATGTCATGCAAGTGTACCCGAGACTCGGTCAAACAGGACACCTATGCGCGCAGACATTCGTCTCCCAGCGCTATAACAAGACTGGCTTGGATTAGCTATTGCTACAAGCTGAAGCCATTACGCAAATTTAGCAGCATGACCACAGGTGCGATAATGTGAGAATTTTCTCACCCCCCTTTCACCCCTGAGCCGGGACCAAGGTGACCCCTTTCACCAAAAGCCGAGAAGAAAAATCAACAGTGAGGTAAGGTTAAGCAAAGGAAATATTTGTACGTGAATTGTTTATGTATAGATAAGAAGGAGGCTGTTGAAAAAAGTGCTTGGTGAGGGTGTGAGTAGTGATTTCTGGACATTTTCGAGTTTTTAAGATAAAAAAATTCATAGCTTTTGTAGATAAACATCTTTTACGCCGTGATGGTCACCATTGGAACCGTCTCGTCTTCCTCTTTCAGAAATTATAAAGAATGTCTGAGATCCAATCAACAAAGTGCCTGGGTGAAGGGTGTCCTAGTGATTTTTGAAGATCTTCGAGTTCTTAACATATAAAAATTCATAACTTCTGTAGATGAACATTCTGTACGCCGCAATGGCCACCGTTGGAACAGTCTCGTTCTCCGCTTTCAGAAAATATATGCTTTGCCTGGAGTCCTTTAGAAAAAGTGCCGGGTGAAGGATGGGTGAGCTTTTATAATGGGAGTGTTCAAGTAGACGCCTTTTTACAATGGTATAAAAGTCTCACCCACCCTTCACCTGGCACTTTTTCTAATGGACTCCAGGTAAAGTATATATTTTCTGAAAGCGGAGAACGAGACTGTTCCAAGGGTGACCATCGCGGCGTACAAGATGTTCATTTACAGAAGTTATGAATTTTTTTATGCTAAAATTAGAAAATCTCTAGAAATCACTAGGACACCCTTCACCCAGGCACTTTTTTTAACGGACCCCAGGCAAAGTATATATTTTCTGAAAGCAGAAGACAAGACGGTTCAACAATGACCATCAAGGCGCACAGGATATTCATCCACAGAAGTTACGGGTTTTCTATCCTAAAAACCCGTAAATATCCAGAAATCACTACCCACACTCTTCACGAGGTTTTTCAACAGACTCCAGGCAAACTATATATGCTCTAAAAGCGGAGGACAAAATGGTTTTATAAACATTTCCCTTGCTGACGTTGCTGTTCATCTGCAGAAACTACGATTTCTTCTTTTGAAAAATTCGTAAATGCTCAAAAATTGTCTAACTTTTTCCGAAACAAATCTTCTCGCATGCACACCTTCTACGGTAATTTTTGAAAACAGGCGGGGTGATGTAAAAAAGGAAAAAGAAAAAATGTAAAAAAAAATACAAGGTGCTGGTCAGAACCATAATTGTGTGCTAATCCAGCAGCACATCGGCTCACATTTCAGAAAAAAGACAACCAGTGATGGCAAGGAATTGAAAATATAAATTTTCACTAAGAAACATGATGAGCGAACACCATGGCTCCCTCCCCCTCCCCCCCCCCCCCCGTCGACATATAATGATTTCTTGATCAAGTGAAACACCCTTCACCCGGAGGGGCTGCAACCGCTGTGACCCCCTTCATCCTGGAGGGGTCATTCTCACCTTATCGCACCTGTGAGCATGACACTTTCACTTTGCGGCTTAGGTGCCTCAAAGTGATCTGCTGAATCATTTTACTTTCTAGAGGTCGCATGCACTAACATCCCCGTAAGGAGGGAATCGCAGCTTAAATGGGTGCTATCCTGAAGCTCCAGATATGTGGAATTCACGCTGTCTACCTATTCATAGGTATTCCGACCATCCTTCACTACAAACTCAGTGAATAGGAGCGAGAAGCTGTACATGCCGCATATTTTAGCTTTCTGTATGACCCCTGATAATCCCCATCAGCAGACCGTCTTTTATTTTGTCATTTTTCTTTCTTCGAAGTTAACGAAAACATTCCAGAGTTGTACCAATTATCTAACCCGAGTTAATCATGTTTCTGGTAAGAGCATGTGATATTTCGAATTCATGAAATTTGCGATTGACACTAGTCGAAAGTTGGGGTTTACAGAAAAACTGATATTCCAAAAACTCATTTTTCCCAGCGGCATGCTTAGCACTATTGAGTTAGGTAAACAATAAGTTTGGAATGTCTTTATTGATCTCGAAAAAATGACTTCAGAGAAAAGGCGGTCGGCCAGCGGGGATCATCAGGGGAATATATAAAAAGCTGAAAATGCGACTTATACAGCTTCTCGCTCCTGTTCAGTATGTTCATAGTGAAGTATGGTAAGTAAGTAAGTACTCACGGATAGTTAGACTGTGTGAAATCACATATCTGGAGCGTCAGGGTACGAAGCTTTGTTTTGAGCTGCGATCCTTTCCCCAGCGGGGATGTTAGTGCATGCGTCTCAAATACTCCAGAAAAAAATGCGGAGTACTTGTCAAGAACGCACTTTAATGCTCAGATCTATGTTCACACTTCTCCACCATTCAGCTTCTACATGTAAGGAATAAATCAGTTTCTCTTTTCATGCTAAAAACCTTACGCCTATTTGAAGGGGTTATTTATTGGACGCCCACTTGCTTCACCGTAACCAGAGGCTACACAGGCGCCCCATATAACACTGTTTGATCATTGATGAATTTCTGGCTTTGACTCTTTCGCGGATCTTTAGGTACCAATCTGTAGTGCTGGCTTCAGTTTAGATTTACAATGTGGAGTGAATCATCGATCATTCTTCGTTGCTGTAGGATTACTGTAGGGACTTCCAGACGGAACGACAGTGAAAAAGCTCTCCAACAACTTATGTTTTCACAAAGTCTGCAAAACTGTATACAAGGTTTTTTAACGTGGAAAAATTTGGCTTGGGGCCTTTCTGAGGCAAAAGATGGCCCCTCAGTAGTTTAAAACCTTTGTAAGGTTTCTGCCGTAATCCTACAGCAGCGATGAAGATTGGGCGAGTTGCGCCGTGCACTAAATCTACGTTGGAGTTAGCTTCGAATTGGTACTTAGGTTTTGACGGAAGATATCAAAGCATAAGAGTTATCAACGATCAAACAGTGTGTGCATTATACTGAAACACCTTACAAATGTCTGGTAAGAGATTAAGGTAGGCAGGGCTTCATCTTTTCAAAAACTCTAGCTATACAGGTGTCCCAAAAGTATGTATATACCAATTGATCGTTGATATGTCTTTCAGCAAGAAGCCGTTTGCCTACCTGCTGGCACCATTTTAGAGCTAGCATTGACTCAGATCTATTGTATGTAGCGAAACACTATCGCTACATATCACCTGTCGATTTTCATTACTGTTGGATTACGGCAGAGACTTCAAGGAGAATGTGAGCCATTAGGTGCCCTATATTGCCACAGAAAGCAAACCAAACAACCTAAAACTTTTATACTAGACTAATTCAAGTCGGTGAAATCAAATATGAAGTTCGCACTCGACCGCTACATTTTTTTCATAAGTTATGATGAGTAAACGGCAATAGCTGTTAATACAATGCTCCCTAAAGTCGTGATTACACCACTTGAAATGCTTGGAAAACTCGTACAAAGTTGTGCAATAAAATCACGCGCATAAAAACCGTGGTACACCACTTTTCAGATCTTTTTGGAAACTTAGTTGGAAAAAGGGTGATCCACAATGACGCTGAAAGCTGAAATTTCCAACCGTGATACAGTATAATACCGCTCATAATTCGTCAAAAAAATCGCCGGACTGCGGCGCATTCCGCCACACTCCGCCGCAGTGCGCCGGAATGATCGTCAATTTAGCCATATCTCGCTTCAGAATGAACGAATTTTGAATCCGAGGACACCATTCGATTCAGCTCGGCGAGACGCATCATCTTATTTATGAAGCTGAACGTCTGTTTGTCTGTTTGTCTGTGCGTATGTTCCGAATAGAAAATTCCATTTCTGAACCGATCCGGACCAAACATGGCACACATACACTTCGTGCCCCGGCGGGTGTCATAGGCTACTTTTCGTCATCGATCGATATCGATTTTATCGATTTTGATTTTTTTTGCAGAGTACGGGGCTGGGAGTTGGCACAGGGGAAGGGTAAGTGAGCACAGGGATTCCGAATACAATATTAGTTTTCAGAATTATCGATTATTATTTTGGTTGAATTCAGTGTGCTGATAACAGTATTACCATTGATCTGTCGCTGATGACACATAGACAGCATTCTATAGGAGTATGGTAAAGAGCCACTCTGATCGAATTTGTTCTAAGATTTGCTCAAGATCACAATACCGCCCAAAGAATGTCAAAATTTCCGTGAACTTCGCGGAATTCCGGAATTTCCGCCAGAGTGCGCGATAATCCGGAAAGTTCGCGACATTTCAGGATCCGCGAAGCCATGCGAATCACGCAGAGTACGCAACGCCATAACTTCCTTCGGAATGAATATATTCCGAATCCAGAAGCAGCATTGTGTTCAGATCGTCGAGTCAAATATTTCGATATACAGTATGCTCTCGATATTCCATTTCCAGTTTTTTCGAACTTTTCCTGTGGAGGTCCTTTCGCAAGGATGTAACGCAGCGTCTGGGTAACATAAAAGATTTCAATAAACGCTATTCAATAGTACTCTCCTTGTAGATTATCGAGCGTTCAAGAGTAGCTGCAGACTGTCTTCCAAAAGAGATAGAACTGGTGAATTTTGGAAAAATCACGCGTTTCTAAATTCTACTCGCCGTAACTTCCTTCGAAATGAACATATTCTGAATCCGAAGAAAGCTTTGTGCTCAGTTCATCAAGGCAAGTCTTTCGATATACAGCATATCCTTGATATTCCGATTTCAATATTCTCAAATCTTTCTGTAGACGTCTTTTCGCGAAGGTGTAAAGCAGCGCGCATTGCCCCTAGTAGACTCCAGCAAAGACGCGAATCTCGTCGAAATTTCACAGTGAGTGCTTGTATGACACTCGCATTGCGGATATTATGTTCGCTTCGCTCAATGACTCCACTGTATTGAATATAGTACTTGCGTGTGCATCAGCAATTGAATATCAAAGCTGTTTTGTGGCTAGAACTCAAAGCACCTAATCTAACACAATAAGATCCATTAAGAATGTGAAAAGATTTGATCAGCGTGCTGTACAAGCACTCACGGTAAAATTTCGACGAGATTTGCGATCTTTACATTTTAGGCAAAATTCATAAGGACGTGTATTCGTAGGCTCGTAACTCGGCGATTTTCACAGACTGGAGCCTAAGTCATGCATCATTCGATAGCACAATTCCTAGTAATTTTGACTTGAAAGAGCGAGAAGGCAAGGTTTCTGAGAGATACGCGAGAAGTGCGGGCAAAGTTACGCACTTTCATGATGCAGTTACAGTCACTTCACCGTATCTCTCCAAAAAGACCCTGTAATCCTCAAAGACCACGATATTCGTAAAGAGCGTGTTCGAAAAACTCTATGAGCGGCGTTTCCCTACAATTCAAGATCATCATCATTTTGACCAAAATCCACCGGCCAGCTTCAGGGCGTCAGACAAGAAAAAATGAAATCACCCGAACATCTCGGAAAACTTGTTCATAAGGGTTATCCGACCTGGTGATTACAAAACTCACATCTGCTTAACAAGATAGCCTCGTATTCTAGCGTTGCGACGAGTAGAATTTGGGAAACAAGATTTTTTTTTACGATTTACCAGCCTTTCTACCTCCATTGGAAAGATGCCTGTGATTACTTTTAAGCGCTACATAATCTACAGCAAAAGTACAATCAAAAGGTCCTTGCTGGAGTCTACTAGGGGCAATGCGCGCTGCTTTACACCTTCGCGAAAAGACGTCTACAGAAAGATTTGAGAATATTGAAATCGGAATATCAAGGATATGCTGTATATCGAAAGACTTGCCTTGATGAACTGAGCACAAAGCTTTCTTCGGATTCAGAATATGTTCATTTCGAAGGAAGTTACGGCGAGTAGAATTTAGAAACGCGTGATTTTTCCAAAATTCACCAGTTCTATCTCTTTTGGAAGACAGTCTGCAGCTACTCTCGATAATCTACAAGGAGAGTACTATTGAATAGCGTTTATTGAAATCTTTTATGTTACCCAGACGCTGCGTTACATCCTTGCGAAAGGACCTCCACAGAAAAAGTTCGAAAAAACTGGAAATGGAATATCGAGAGCATACTGTATATCGAAATATTTGACTCGACGATCTGAACACAATGCTGCTTCTGGATTCGGAATATATTCATTCCGAAGGAAGTTACGGCGTTGCGTACTCTGCGTGATTCGCATGGCTTCGCGGATCCTGAAATGTCGCGAACTTTCCGGATTATCGCGCACTCTGGCGGAAATCCCGGAATTCCGCGAAGTTCACGGAAATTTTGACATTCTTTGGGCGGTATTGTGATCTTGAGCAAATCTTAGAACAAATTCGATCAGAGTGGCTCTTTACCATACTCCTATAGAATGCTGTCTATGTGTCATCAGCGACAGATCAATGGTAATACTGTTATCAGCACACTGAATTCAACCAAAATAATAATCGATGATTCTGAAAACTGATATTGTATTCGGAATCCCCGTGCTCACTTACCCTCCCCCTGTGCCAACTCCCAGCCCCGTAGGTGAACTCTGCAAAAAAATCAATAAAAATCGATAAAATCGATATCGATCGATGACGAAAAGTAGCCTATGACACCCGCCGGGGCCCGAAGTGTATGTGTGCCAAGTTTGGTCCGGATCGGTTCAGAAATGGAGTTTTCTATTCGGAACATACGTACAGACAAACAGACAAACAGACGTTCAGCTTCATATATAAGATGATGCGTCTCGCCGAGTTGAATCGAACGGTGTCCTCGGACTCAGAATTCGTCCATTCTGAAGCGAGATATGGCTAAATTGACGATCATTCCGACGCACTGCGGCGGAAAGTGGCGCACTCTGCCGCACTCCGGCACACTCTGCCACACTTCGGCGCACTGCGGCGGAGTGTGGCGGAGTGCGCCGAAGAGCGGTATTGTAATGAAGAGCGATCGGTATTCGCTCCACACCGGAGATGCATATCGAAGCCAGGCTCTACAAAATGGTACCTGAAAATAGACGACAGAATTTTTGATAAAAAAGATGACAACGATCAAACAGTGTATACATACTTTTGGGACACCCTGTATCAGGTTATATATTGCTTAAAAGCTTATACATGACGATCAGGCTCGAATTACCGCTCTTAAGCTTTCTGGAGCTTTCGACCTTGCTTGTTTACGATAAAACATACTGGACAGACTGAGCAAGCTTTTGTATACATCTTCTACAATAATTTTGGATGGTTAGCATTACAGATGATAGGAACCATTAGTGGCTGGATCATAATTGCTGGATTGATATGCAGACCTTGTGCTGTCCGAAATGGTTGATGTGAAAAAAATGGCTTGGTCGTGACTTTGTTAAGGACTTTGACATGTAGAATTTATCATTGTTGCTCCAAAATCAAAAAACCACGCAGAATTGGCAGCATTATGCTTTCATCTGGCATCCTGATTGATTCACCGCAATCTGAAGCAGAAAGTCACTGTGTTGACTTTGAGCTCGTGCCAAACGAGCGTAGGGAAATATATACTTAGTAGGTCATTCAGAAGAGCACACTTCATCATTTCAAAGCTTGATGAATTGCTTATCTCAAATGCTTACGTAGATTTGGTGGTATTGTAGTTCCACCTGGCTCACCGTGATCTGGAGATGAAAGTCACTGTGTTGAGTACAAAGTTCATGTAAAAAAACATTGTGTTAAGTTCCAGGCTCATGCGGAAAGACTGCAGGGAGATATGTGCTTAGTAGATCATTCAACAGAGCAAACCTTATCGTTTCAAAACTTTTGAAGTACATTTTATTTATGGATCAAAAGCTTACGCAGATTTAGTGGCATTGTACTTCCTTCTCGCAGTCCACCGTGATCTGGAGCTGAAAGTAAAGGTCTTAACTTCTAAGATCATGCAAAAAGACTGTAGGAAAAATATGCTTAGTAGGTCACTCAGCAAAGCAGACTTTGTCATTTCAAAGCTTTTGAAGTTACATTACTCATATCCAAGGATCAAAAGCTTACGCAGATTTGGTGGCACTGTACTTCCTTCTCGCAGTCCACCGCGATCTGGAGCTGAAAGTAAAGGTCTTAACTTCTAAGATCATGCAAAAAGACTGTAGGAAAAATATGCTTAGTAGGTCACTCAGCAAAGCAGACTTTGTCATTTCAAAGCTTTTGAAGTTACATTACTCATATCCAAGGATCAAAAACTTACGCAGATTTGGTGACATTGTACTTCCTTCTCGCAGTCCACCACGATCTGGAGCTGAAAGTAAAGGTCTTAACTTCTAAGATCATGCAAGAAGACTGTAGGGAAAATATGCTTAGTAGGTCACTCAGCAAAACAGACTTTGTCATTTCAAAGCTTTTGAAGTTACATTACTCATATCCAAGGATCAAAAGCTTACGCAAATTTGGTGGCATTGTACTTCCTTCTCGCAGTCCACCGCGATCTGGAGCTGAAAGTAAAGGTCTTAACTTCTAAGATCATGCAAAAAGACTGTAGGGAAAATATGATTAGTAGGTCATTCAGCAAAACAGACTGTCATTTCAAAGCTTTTGAAGTTACATTACTCATATCCAAGGATCAAAAGCATACGCAGATTCGGTGGCATTGTGCTTCCTTCTGGCAGTTCACTGCGATTCGAGGCTGAAAGTCATTGGTTTGAGTCCCAGGTTCATGTAAAACTTATTGGCCCGTAGTAAACTCTCCGTCATGGCATCTCCCTTGAGGCGGACCTGAGTTGATCGGGGCGCCCTAGTCCAGCATCCCGCGAGCTATTGATCTCATTGTCGATCGTTTTATAAAAAAATGACAGGGCTGCGCGTTCTCAAAAAAGAAACAGCAATAGTGCTTGTTTCGGGCATGTTCAAATGAATAACTGATTGAGATGCAACGCAGCGACCGTATTTCGGGATCGGCTAGTGTAGCATCTAGCGTAAACAAAACAAATTCGCGATATTTTAGCAGTAATTCTCATGAAAAACCCATTTTCCGAACAGAAAGACAATGAAATGAACGAAGAAATTTTACTCAACGCAGTTTTTTTAAGAAAATAAGGCAAAGCAAACTATGCAAAAAAGGAAATAACTAGCTTCCCCCATTCTTGGCTGCATAGCTACTCATCGACTCTTTCAACCCTGAAAAGGTCCCGAAAATGTGCAGTTTTGCGCCCTCTAGCTCTAAATAATATGTCACATTATATCTCGTAGGTTACTCACGAGGAACTTACGGAATTTTTCTCTGCGTTCCCATCCTTTGCACCCCAATTCATCTCAAAATCGATGATGCTCTTACATCCATCAGATGAAATCATAGCGGCACCTGCCCTGACGCTCATCCGTTAGATCAGGTCGCATTCTTATGCATGTGGGAGTGGCCGCTGGTCAGTTTATTTCAAGTGAAACGGGGTTTACTACGGGCCATTGTGCTAACTTGCAGGCTCATGCAAAAAGGCTGTATGAAAATATAAGTGCTAAAAGTGATTGTGTTAGCTCCTAAGCTCATGCCAAATTCACTGCGTTAACTTTCAGGTTCATGCAAAAAGACTATTGGGAAATATTTGCTTAGTGGGTCATTCAGAAAAGCGCACTTTATCATTTCAAAGCTTTCTTAGAATACTCATGTCCATGGGTTGAAAGCTTACGCAGATTCGGCGGCATTGTAATTCCGTCTGGCAGTCCACCGTGATCTGGGGCTGAAGGTTAACTTCTAAGCTCATGCAAAAAGACTGTAGGGAAATATGTGCTTAGTAGGTCATTCAGCAGAGAAGACTTTATTATTATTTCAAGCATTTGATGTTTAGATAACTCATATCATTGGATTGAAGGCTTACGCAGATTCGGTGGCATTGTACTTCCTTCTGGCAATTCACCGTGATCTGGGTCTGAAAGTCAATGCGTTGAGTCCTAAGTTCATGTAAAAGTTATTGTGTTAATTTGCAGGGTCATCCGAAAAGAATTTATGGAAATACAAGTGCTAAAAGTGATTTTGTTATCTCCTAAGCTCATGCCAAATTCACTGCGTTAACTTTCAGGTTCATGCAAAAAGACTATTGGGAAATATTTGCTTAGTGGGTCATTCAGAAAAGCGCACTTTATCATTTCAAAGCTTTTTTAGATTACTCATGTCCATTGGTTGAAAGCTTACGCAGATTCGGCGGCAGTGTAATTCCGTCTGGCAGTCCACCGTAATCTGGAGCTGAAAGCAACTTCTAAGTATGCAAAAAGACTGTAGGAAAAGATGTAGCAAAGCAGAGTTTATTATTTCAAGCATTTGAAGTTTAGATTACTCATACCAATGATTGAAAGCTTACGCAGACTCGGCGGCATTGTAATTCCGTCTGGCAGTCCACCATGATCTGGGGCTGAAAGTAACTTCTAAGCTTATGCAAAATTTGGGGAAATATGTGCTTGGTAGGTCATTCAGCAAAGCAGACTTTATTATTTTAAACATTTAATGTTTAGATTACTCAGTAAACAAAAGCTTACGCAGATTTGGTGGCATTGTATTTCCGTCTGGCAGTCCACTATGATATGGAGCTGAAGTAAATGTGTTAACTTCTAAGCTCATGCAAAAAGACTGTAGGGAAATATGTGCTTAGTGGGTCATTCAGCAGAGCAAATTTTATCATTTCAAAGATATTTTAGATTACTCATGTCCATGGATTAAAAGCTTACGCGGATTCGGCGGCCCTATAATTCCGTCTGGCAGTCCACCGTGATCTGGGGTTGAAAGTAACTTCTAAGCTCATGCAAAATATGGGGAAATATGTGCTTAGTAGGTCATTCAGCAGAGCAGACTTTATTATTTCAAGCATTTGATGTTTAGATTACTCATGTCTATGGATTAAAAGCTTACGCAGATTCGGCGGCATTGTAATTCCGTTTGGCAGTCCATCATGATCAGGAGCTGAAAGTAAAGTGTTGACTTCTAAGCTCAAAAAGAGTAGGGAAATATGTGCTTAGTGAGTCATTCAGCAGAGCAAATTTTATCATTTCAAAGCTATTTTAGATTACTCATGTCGATTAAAAGCTTACGCAGATTCGGCGGCACTGTAATTCCGTCTGGCAGTCCACCGTGATCTGGGGCTGAAAGTAACTTCTAAGCTCATGCAAAATATGGTGAAATATGTGCTTGGTTGTTCATTCAGCAAAGCAGACATTATTACTTCAAGCATTTGATGTTTAGATTACTCAGTAAACAAAAGCTTACGCAGATTTGGTGGCATTGTATTTCCGTCTGGCAGTCCACTATGATATGGAGCTGAAAGTAAAGTGTTGACTTCTAAGCTCATGCAAGAAGACTGTAGGGAAATATGTACTTAGTAGGTCATAAAGGAAAGCAATTTTATCATTTCAAAGCTTTTTCAGATTACTCATATCCATGGATTAAAGCTTACGCAGATTCGGCGGCATTGTAATTCCGTCTGGCAGTATACCGTGATCTGGGGCTGGAAGTAACTTCTAAGCTCATGCAAAATATGGGGAAATATGTGCTTAGTAGGTCATTCAGCAGAGCAGACTTTATTATTTCAAGCAATTGTTGTTTGGATTACTCAGTAAACAGAAGCTTACGCAGATTTGGTAGCATTATACTTTCGTCTGGTAGTCCACCATGATCTGGAGCTGAAAGTAAAGTGTTGACTTCTAAGCTCAAAAAGGGTAGGGAAATATGTGCTTAGTGAATCATTCAGCAGAGCAAATTTTATCATTTCAAAGCTATTTTAGATTACTCATGTCGATTAAAAGCTTACGCAGATTCGGCGGCCCTGTAATTTCGTCTGGCAGTCCACCGTGATCTGGGGCTGAAAGTAACTTCTAAGCTCATGCAAAATATGGGGAAATATGTGCTTGGTAGGTCATTCAGCAAAGCAGACTTTATTATTTCAAGCATTTGATGTTTAGATTACTCAGAAAACAAAAGCTTACGCAGATTTGGTGGCATTGTACTTCCGTCTGGCAGCCCACTATGATCTGGAGCTGAAGTAAATGTGTAACTTCTAAGCTCATGCAAAAAGACTGTAGGGAAATATGTGCTTAGTGGGTCACTCAGCAGAGCAAATTTTATCATTTCAAAGCTATTTTAGATTACTCATGTTTATGGATTAAAAACTTACGCGGATTCGGCGGCATTGTAATTCCGTCTGGCAGTCCACCGTGATCTGGGGCTGAAGTAAATGTGTTAACTTCTAAGCTCATGCAAAAAGACTTTAGGGAAATATGCACTTAGTAGGTCATAAAAGAAAGCAATTTTATCATTTCAAAGCTTTTTCAGATTACTCATATCCATGGATTAAAGCTTACGCAGATTCGGCGGCATTGTAATTCCGTCTGGCAGTCCACCGTGATCTGGGGCTGAAAGTGACTTCTAAGCTCATGCAAAATATGGGGAAATATGTGCTTGGTAGGTCATTCAGCAAAGCAGACTTTATTATTTCAAGCATTTGATGTTTAGATTACTCACAAGGGAAGTCACTTAACTTAGGTCGGGCTTTTGAAATGAGACACATACGGTTGGATTCAGCTTGAAACGTTGATTTCAAATCTGCTTTCCTTAGCTGCTCTGAAGCAAGTTATGAGCTTTTTTCCTGAGCAAATTTTGCGTGTTGACAGACTTAGGCATGCTACGGTATCATCATCTAGGTAGTGGTTCAAATGCATATTATAGCCTATCAAATCCAAATGACTCAATTTGATGTTATTCTGATTTTCCACCACTTTCTGGACAGATTTTCATCTAAAGACCTTTCCATATTCACTTGTATGTCAATGACACATACTAAAAAAGCTCTTAACTCGCTTCAGAGGAACGCTTCGCAGCTAAGGATAGCATATTTGAAATCAGCGTTCCGAGTATGTGTCTCATTTCAAAAGCCCGACCTAAGTTAAGTGACTTCCCTTGTCAGTAAACAAAAGCTTACGCAGATTCGGCGGCATTGTAATTCCGTCTGGTAGTCCACCGTGATCTGGGGCTGAAAGTAACTTCTAAGCTCATGCAAAATATGGGGAAATATGTGCTTAGTAGGTCATTCAGCAGAGCAGACTTTATTATTTCAAGCATTTGATGTTTAAATTACTCATATCAATGGATTAAAAGCTTACGCAGATTCGGTGGCATTGTACTTCCTTCTGGTAATTCACCATGATCTGGGGCTAAAAGTCATTGGGTTGAGTCCTAGGTTCATGTAAAAGTTATTGTGTTGATTTGCAGGTTCATGCGAAAAGAATTTATGGAAATACAAGTGCTAAAAGTGATTATGTTATCTCCTAAGCTCATGCGAAAGTCATTACGTCAACTTCCAGGTTTATGCAAAAAGATTGTAAAGAAATAGTGTCGAATGTTGTTGTGCCGAACAGGTTGTTAGGTGTTCCTTTTATTGTCTATACTCTTCGGCCTTACGTTTCGACGCTTTCGTCTTCATCAGAGGCCTGGAATGGTTCAAGCTTCATCCGTAACTCTAGCCCATCAAACGTCTCCACCAGCCCTTGCCAGTTCTCGGCTCTTCTCCAAATCGTGCTACAAAAATTGCGATGACAAAAGACATACCAGGGAACCACCGCTTCGTTATATGTCCTTACCGGATGTAGATGTTTGCGACGAGCTATACTGAGGGATGTCACATAAACAGTTATAGCTCACACAATGATAAAAACGGAAGAAAATCAGCGGTTATGGATAAGCACTCGTTTTTGCTGTTATGAAACACAAAACAACAAAAACGAGCGCTTATCCATAACCGCTGATTTTCTTCCGTTTTTATCATTGTGTGAGCTATAACTGTTTATGTGACATCCCTCAGTATAACTCAATCGTCCGTCGCGAACACCTACATCCGGTACGGACATCTAACAAAGCGGTGGTTCCCTGTTATGTCTTTTGTCATCACAATCTTTGCACTAGATTAGGGGAAGAGAAGAACTGGCAAGGGCTGGTGGAGACGTTTGATGGGCTGGAGTTACGGATGAAGCTTTGAACCATTTCAAGCCTCTGATGAAGACGAAAGCTTCGAAACGTAAGGCCGAAGATTATTGACAATAAAAGGACCACCTAACTACCTGTTCGGTACAACAATATTCGACACTTGCGAACATGCCCAGGTTTAATGACTACAGAACATGGCAATTATTTTTTGTAGGGAAATATTTGCCTAGTGGGTCGTTCAGAAAGGCGCACTTTATCATTTCAAAGCCTTTTTAGATTACTCATATCCATGGGTTGAAAGCTTACGCAGATTCGGCGGCACTGTAATTCCGTCAGGCAGTCCACCGTGATCTGGGGCTGAAAGTAAATGTGTTAACTTCTAAGCTCATGCAAAAAGACTGTAAGGAAATATGTGCTTAGTATCAGCAGAGCAGACATTATTTCAAGCATTTGATGTTTAGATTACTCAATGATAAAAAGCTTACGCAGATTTGGTGGCATTGTACTTCCGTCTTGCAGTCCACCGTGATCTGGAACTGAAAATAATTTCTAGTCATACAAAAAGACTGTAGGGAGATATGTGCTTAGTAGGTCATTCAGCAGAGCAAATCTTATCATTTCGAAGCTTTTTTAGATTACTCATATCCATGGATTAGAGGCTTACGCAGATTCGGCGGCATTGTACTTCCGTCTGGCAGTCCACCGTAATCTGGGGACGAAAGTAACTTGAAAGTCATGCGAAAAGAGTGCAAGGAAATATGTGCTTAGTAGGTCATTCAGCAGAGCACACTTTGTCATTTCAGAGTTTTTTTTTAGATTACTCATATTAACGGATTAAAGGCTTACGCAGACTCGGGGGCATTGTAATTCCGTTTGGCAGTCCGTCGTGATCTGGAGCTGAAAATAAACTTCTAAGCTCATGCAGAAAGAATGCAGGGAAATATATGCTTAGTAGGTCATTCAGCAGAGCAGACTTTGTCATTTTAAAGCTTTTTATGTTACATTACTCATAAAGGGCGTGGCGTCAGCCACGCTCCCGAATTTTTTTTTATAATGCTAAACTGAATTCTTAAAAAGTTTAAAAAATTATTTCAATTACTTACAAGTATAAATAAGTCTTTGCACATTTTTATGACTCACGTAAGTGACTTTGCTTATGAAATACTGCAGGGAAATATTTGCTTAGTAGGTCATTCAAGAAAACACACTTTATCATTTTGAAGTTATTTTTAAATTACTCATATCCATGGATTGAAGCTTACGCAAATTCGGTGGCATTGTAATTACGTCTGGCAGTTCACCGTGATCTGGGACTGAAAGTAACTTATAAGTTCATTCAAAAAGATTGTAAGGAAATATGTGCCTAGCAGGTCATTCAACAGAGCAGGTTTTATTGCTTCAAGCATTTGATGTTTAGATTACTCATATCAATTGTATCAAAAGCTTACGCAGATTTGGTGGCATTGTACTTCTGTCTGGCAGTCCACCGTAATCTGAAGCTTCTAAGCACAAGCGAAAATGTAGGGGAATATGTGCTTAGTATGTCATTCAGCAGAGCACACTTTGTCATTTCAGAGCTTTTGATGTTCAGATTATTTATATCATTGGATCAAAAGCATACCTTCGATAGCCTAGAGACAGGGCATAAAAGTGAAGTTTGTTCAAATATCTGCCCCCCCCCCCCCATGAGAAGAGAAGTTTGTTTATAGGAATCCAAAGAAGAAAAAGATGCAAATAGCAGTGTAAAAAGAAAACAGATAAACATGTAAGAACAGAAAAACAGGTAGCAAAAGCAAATGAAGCTCCTGAAAACCTGACAATAACGCTGCAATGAGTTTGGGATCTTTCATTTGGCGGCGTTTCGAAGTGCAGATTTTCGCTCCAGGATCATGCAGTCCACCGGAGAAGTAAAAAGCTATATTCTTCTGTGTAATCGTTTCAAAAATAACCAATTTTCGGAAGTGATGATTATCAAAAGAAGTTAAACGAGAAATGAATTACTTATAAAAACGCAAACTTTTTTCTATACTAAGTCCAAGCGCACGTCAAGAGCGATTTAGTTTCTGATGGTCCTCTAAATCTTTAACCCTGCATTGTCGTTAATCTCTCTTGGCTCGTTGTCTGGATTTTTGCGCTCGTTTTTTTGAGCAATAATCGTCCAAACTGGAAAAAATTGCTGCCAATACACTGAAAGAGAACACTAGAAAAACGCACTTCTTACGGTTTTTCACAGGAAATTTCGCCAATCGAAGAAATAAGCACTGGGTCGTTGCTTACATTATGAAGAGATAAAAGATCTATAGAATGGGCGAATAAAACGCGTGAAAAGGAGCTAAACTAGTTGAAAACAAGAGATTTTCAACATGGGTTTTGCCAGATTTCTCGATCAAACTATTGTGGTTTTGGGATGCTGTCAGCTTGAAAGTAGAGATCGAGTGTTTGAAATGATATATAGCTTGCTAAAATTGAGTTTGAAATAGCGAAGAAAAAGGTACCAGAGGCAAATGCCTAGCGCCCCGTTTTTGGGGTAGTGAGGTAGCGCGCAGCGCGCGGAGACACACCAGAACCGAGGGGCATCTGGCTCTGGTCGGAGATCTCCGCGGGTTTCGACGAAACCCTGCAGCATTATATATCAATCTGATGTCGACACGGGAGGAGAACTGACGACGTCCCAAGCGTTGAAAATCACTCATTAACAAAATAGACCAGCATTTTCGTGCGCGACTCTCTGCGCAAGATTTAAGCGCAGTTTCTCGTTTTTATTCAATTCCAACAGCTTTCAAACTTCTGAAACTTGGTTTTGGTCAAATAAGAGGTTGACTGAGAAAGTTTTCCTGAATTCTGGAGAAACTTCCAGAAAAATTTTCTTTTTAGCGTAAAAAAGGCTATAAAAACGCAAACTCTCGGTTTTGCTGAGATAATCTCAAGATATTATTCCCCATAGTTGCTTTATTCACTTTCATTCCGATAAACAGTCATGATTATAACATCAGCTTCGCCCGGATAACTTCTGTTTTTTTTTCTCAGATGAAGGTTGTGCTCTATCAAGGCCCTCGCAGTGATGGTTACCAGAGTACATGGCTCTATGTATTGAGGGTATAATCAAAGGCTTACGCAGATTTGGTGGCATTGTACTTTCCTCTGGCAGTTCACCGTGATCTAAGTAAATGTGAAACTAAATGTGTTAACTTCTAAGCTCATGCAAAATTCACTGTGATTATTTTGAGCTCGTGCAAAAAGACCGTATTGATATATATGTGCTAAAAGTTGTCGTGTTAGCTTCTAATCACATGCAAAAAGATTGTAGGAAAAAATATGCTTGGTAGGTCATTCAACAGAGCAGACTTTATCATTACAAATGTTTTGAAATTTATATTAATCATATCCATGGATCAAAAGCTTACACAGATTCAGTGGCATTGTGCTTCCGTCCGGCAGCTCAGCGTAATTTGGGGCTGGAAGGAATGTGTTAACTTCTAAGTTCATGCACAAAGTCATTGTGCTAACTTGAGCGCCTAAAAACTGTGGCAAAGCATTTGCTTGGTAAGCCATTCAAAAGCGCCTTTATCGTTTCAAAATCTTTGACGGTACTTGTGTTCCATTTTTTGTTTTCTTTTTGGCAATAATTAACTTATTTGGAATATGGTGTATATGCTTTTGAAAGCTCTAATTCCGCTCTTTAAATTCGTACAGTCCCCTTCTAAGTCAACAGGGGTTGAAAGAAATTTTTTGACATCAATACAAAAATTCCGAGACAAAAATTATTTTCGACATCTTTTTTGTGTCCAAATTCCCTCTCTTTTAATAAGTTATATTTATTCAAGCTTGACAACAAACAAAACAACCTACTAGGCTTTTTGTTCTTATTGTTTCCCTCTACCGACTTTTCAATGCCACATTTCAAAAGTGAAGCAAGACTTTGTCGCAGCGATGTTCGCGTCCCTAAGCTGTGTGACCACCAAACTTTGAATTTTCAGTAATTGACACATATATTCGATGATTTTATAGCCATAGACCAACTCTTCCTTTTTTTATGGATGATCCGCTCAACGTTTCTCACCACTGCCTTCAGAAGTCCAACGTGAACATTAAATACATTAGAAAAATACTTTTTGAGTTTGCAAAGGAGAGTCTTAAATTTTCAGAACTCTTAAACCGCTTCAAAAGCTCTCGCGTCCTTTACCTAGGCTCAGCAGATTTTTTGAACTATTTAGTACACATTCTTACCTAACTGATGTGCGACGCAAAGTGATTGTCGAAATTGGATTATTTTCCTCTTTGGTTTTTCAAATTCGATGCCGAAAATTTTTTCGAATTTTTTTGATGTAAGAGCCTCAAGTAAAGGGTTTGATAGAAGGGCTTAAAGCTTTTAAATGCATATATCCAATTTGCGAAACACCGTGCGAACTGCTGTGAGATCTAAAGAAAAAATGGGATGGAACAAGATTGAAATGACTTATGCAAAAATGATGGCACTGTAATCTGGTACTCAAAGCCATAGCGTTGACTAACCTCATACAAAACTGTAGGTTACATGCTTAGTGCGTCATTGTCGCGGATCACGACTTCTTTCAAAAGAGTCCGCCGCCGCGCTGCAAAGGGTCCTAAAACGCTTCCTCGCGCCGCTCCCGCCTTCCCAACGCTATCTGCCGCAGCTTTCAAGTCGGTCGTCAATGTTGTAACCTGTTGAGCAGTTGGGTCCCAGTTTCGTCTTCACTCCAGCTGATCGATGCACCGCCGTCCCCAACTCACGCGTTTCTCTACATTCAACACGCCATGGAGGACAGGCAACTCCGCAGACTACGTAAGCCCGTGCGCGCTCGCGCCTAGCACAGGTCGGCGACACCGCCACGGGGGTTTGCGATATTGCTGGCCCCTAGGTCTTAACAACTGGCTGGTTGTTTTCATTCCCTACTGTTTGAGTGTAGGGACTGTGTTAAGGATGAATAGTGGTACTTGATAACCTGTGGCTATTGACTGATGCGGTGGGCTGCAGCTTGGCTGCAGCCCCGAGTGATATCGTGTTATGTGTTGCTATCGTCACATATACTTTAGAAGGTACATCTGTTAGAAGGCTGGCACGATTCATGCTAGTGCCATTGAGTGATGACAAGCCCCAGGTGGCGATAGTGAGGATGGAGACAACGCCCCAGGTACGGTTAGTGCTAGGAGGTGGTAGCTCAGGGCCCTAGAAGTCAGGAGCGTGTGGCAGGAACAATAGCATTCAGTGCAAGCTTAGTTACCGCCCCAAGTAACGTTAAACCCTTTCACGGAAAGGGTCCTCGGCTCCCATACGCCGATGCAGGTGAGCCGAGCTGACGAAGGGAGCTGGGGGCCCAGTCCGCGACAGTCATTCAAGAGCGCAGATTTTATAATTTCAAAGCTTTTAATGCTTAATTACTCGTATCTATGGATAAAAAGCTTACGCAGATTCGGTGGCATTGCACTTCCGTCTGGCAGCTCATTGATTTGGCTCTGAGACATAGTTGCGATAGGGGGAGTGATGGATCTTACCCCCTTCACTTTGAGGCCAAACTTCCGATGACCCCCTTCACCTGGGCTGAGATTGGTATTGTACTCTGAGAATATGATAAAACTCGTTATAAAAGGTTTTGCAGGCTAAGTACCTCAAACAACAAGTACACTCATAAATTTACAAAAGAAACGGTATTTATTATTTGTATTATGTGTTTATCCTCGTAGCATTCATTTGGAGAGCAGAAAGTGAGAACAAAAAAGCAGTTGGTTTTTGGTACATAAAATCCCTCATACCTCGCGGCACAGAAGACCCAGAAAAAAGTCGACGGTCTACTTCGATTCTCCATGATCTCAGCTTTCGAATAGTATGCAGCATGTTAGGGCTTCTTTGCTTCCCGGCTCTAAAAAGCACTTGCTCC